GGACCCCCCCAAATAAATGGGGATCCCCCCCAAAAAATGGGGACCCCCAAAACAAACAGGGACCCCCCTAAAAAAAGAGGGACCTCCCCAAATAAACAGAGACCCCCCCAACGAACAACAGGGACTCCCTGAACAAATGGGGACCCCCCCAAACAAACAGGGCCCCCCTGCACCCTCTACCTGGAGGGGGGGTTCATCTGCCTCTCCCCCTTTTTGGGGTGGTCTGTTCTGGGGGGGGTGGGGATGCCCCCCGTGGTGTCTCCCCTGCTCTGGGGGGGCCGGGGGGGGGCTCAGGGGTGACCCCCCCAGCCTGTTCCTTCCCTAAAGCCCCCCAAATTTGGGGGATCCCCCGTGCTTGGGGGGGTGGGGGGGTCTGTGCCACCCCCCCCTCCCGGGGGTCTGTGCCCCCCCCGAGGTCTCTGTGCCCCCCCAGGGGTCTGTGCCCCCCCTCCCGGGGGTCTCTGTGCCCCCCCGGCCGAGGGACTCACAGCAATAAGGACACAGAAGCAATTTGGGGGGGCCGGGGGGGAGGCAGGAAGGAGGGGGGGAAAGGAGCGGCCCCCCCAGTTTGGGGTGTGTGTCCCCCCCCAGGGTTGGTCCCGGCACTGGTTCAGTCTCCGTACACTGGAAAGACCCTTTTATGGGGGGGGTGTTGTACCCCAAAATACCCCCCCGACTGGGGGCTGTCTTTACGACCCCCCCAGTGGGTTTTGGGGTCTTTATGACCTCCCCATTTGGGGGTGTGGGGTCTTTATGACCCCCCCAAATTGAGGTGCAGAGGTTTTATGATACCCCCCCCCATTTGGGGTCTCTGTGACCCCCCATTGGGGTTCAGACACTTTATGACCCCCCCCCCCGTTGGGTTGTGGGGTCTCTGTGACCCCTCCAGTGGGTTTTGGGGTCTTTATGCCCCCCCCCAAATTGGGGTGCAGAGGTTTTATGACGCCCCCCCCCCATTTGGGGTCTCTGTACCCCCCCCATTGGGGTGTGGGGTCTTTATGACCCCCCCAAATTGGGGTGTGGGGGTTTTATGATACCCCCCCCCATTTGGGGTCTCTGTGACCCCCCATTGGGGTTCAGACACTTTATGACCCCCCCCCGTTGGGTTGTGGGGTCTCTGTGACCCCTCCAGTGGGTTTTGGGGTCTTTATGCCCCCCCCAAATTGGGGTGCAGAGGTTTTATGACGCCCCCCCCCCATTTGGGGTCTCTGTACCCCCCCCATTGGGGTGTGGGGTCTTTATGACCCCCCCAAATTGGGGTGTGGGGTCTCTGTGACCCCTCCAGTGGGTTTTGGGGTCTTTATGGCCGCTCTCAAATTGGGGTGCAGAGGTTTTATGACACACACACCCCCATTTGGGGTCTCTGTGCCCCCCCCATTGGGGTTCAGACACTTTATGACCCCCCCCCGTTGGGTTGTGGGGTCTCTGTGACCCCTCCAGTGGGTTTTGGGGTCTTTATGCCCCCC